AAAGAAAATCAGAGACAGTCTGGATATGGAACCTGCCTCATCCCTTTAGTCCTAGAGAGAGAAACACTGGTGCACTTGCATGAAAATGTCAGAATGAAACCCGTTCCTCTCTGGGGTGGAGTTATAGCTTGGTGGTTAAGAGTACTTACTGCTCTTTCAGAGGATCTGAGTTCAATTTCCAGCATCTACATAGTGGCTCACAGTCATTCATAACTAAAGTGTTAAGGGATATAACACCCTCTGTGCCATCCGTGGACAGCAAGCACACATGTGGTGCACTTACATACATGCAGATAAAACATTCATATACATATAGTATAAATAATAAATCTTTTTTCAAAAGAAAAGTATCCCAATACTCTAAGACAAAGGGATAAAGGAAAGAGGGATGAAAGAAAGATACAGAAATGGAGAGAATAAGAAAGTAATACATGGAGAAATAGTGGCTGGGGATTTCCCGAATGGATAAATGACATCAACTTAAACCCCACGAAAATTTAAATAGGACCAATAAAAAACAATAAAAATGAAGGCAGATTACAATAAAGATGTAAGAAAAAATCTTAGTGAGGAGAAAAAAAGCCCTCATATCTTGCTTCCAGGACTTAGGCCATAAACTGTGAAAATGGGCTTAGGACAATCGATGGCCCCCAGAACTGTACTGAGGGCAGATACAAGCAACCTCTATTTCTTCTCATTGTTGAGAAAAATCTGGCATAAGTGCCACGGACATTAGAAGAACATTTTTATATCCTGGACTACATCTTGTGGAAAGCTAAATGTGCTGTGAGCGGCCCAGGTCCAACTATCAGTGAGGTGGGCTGTAAACCATAGCATGCAGACAGTGAAGAAAGGACAGCAGACTGGAAGAACCTCACCTGGAAGAATGACCAGAAGGCATTAGGAAATTGTCCTCAAAGCACCTCAAAACTGATATAAACGGGGGAGAAGATGGGCAGGAAGTTAACAAATGTTGCTTACAGAAGAGCTTACACAATCTTGTTGACAACATAAGACCCCCCCCCCCCGTAAGATCCATTTTACCCCTCACACAATCTGTTTCTTTAAAACCTAGAAATTAGGGGATAGAGAGATGGCTCAGTGGTTAAGAGCACTGGCTGCTTTTCCAGGGGACCCAGGTTCCGTTCCCAGCACCCACATGACAAATATCTGTAACTCCTGGGAGCCTAACCATACTATAGCTTTCCAGGGCACCAGGCATGGTGTGGTGCACAGACGTACATGCAGGCAAATCACACATACACTTGAATTAATAATATAATTTTAAAAACTAAGCCAGGATTAGGGAGGCTTGACCCACCCATATAAAGACATGCGTTCAAATCCCCAGAATTCACATAGAAGTCAAATATTACAGGCATGTCTGCAGTTTCAGCACGTCTGCAGCTCAATAGGAGATGGAGACAGGAGAAACCCTGCAAGCTTCACTATCCAACCAGCATAGTGGGCACAGAGGCAAAGGAGAGAACCTGCCTCACACGGGATGGGAGATGAGGAGCAACACCCAATGTTGTTCTCTGATCTATGTACATGTGCCATGACACACACACACACACACGCACACACACACGACTTTTAAACTTAGAAATGGCAAAAAACAAACCTTACTAAAAATTTAACTCCTTGTCATGTAGGAAGAGATAGAGACAGCACTTATGAATGGAAAGCTAAAAATCAGGAAGAGGAAAACTTCAGGAGCAGTGAGACCTGGGAAGGTAATGTGACTACAGTGTAGAATACTTTTGCCTAAAATGAAGACAGAAAAAAAAAACATTCTCTGAATAAAGATAGACTAATATTTGTTACTCAAAGACCATAGAACTGTGGTCAAAATAAACCAAACAAACACTCATGTCAGGCCTGATGGTGCAGGCCTGTAGGCATAGCTGCTCAGAAAGCTGCAGCAGAAGAATTACAGTTTCAAGTTCAGTCTGGGAAACTGATTGATCCTTTGTCTCAAAATTAAAAAGTAAAAGAGGGCCAGGGATGTAGCTCAGTGGTAGAGACCTTGCCTGGTAAACAGAAACTCTAGATTCCAACCCAGGTTCTGAAATAAGAGACACAAAACCACAAAAATGCTTGATTTTGTCAGTGCCCTCCAGTATCAATTTATTTGTAGATGCTTCTTTATTACATGACAGATACTAAATTTCAATTTTAGCTTTGTAGAGGACAGAACTCACCAAACACAAAGTGCAATATTGTCACAGAGGTGGGTCATACCCACAGTTCCAGCATATTTAGCAAAAGCACAGAAGAAGGGAAAACATCTGATTAAGGGCAGTGAAAACTAAACCAGTCCTAGGGGAGGGAATTTCCCAGCCAGTGCACAGGGAAAGAAACCCATTTCCTACTTGTGGAGTTTTGAAAGAAAATGGCCCCTAAAGGAACTGACACTATTAGGAGGTGTGGATTTGTGGGAGGGAGTGTGTCACTGTGGGGTAGACTTTGAGGAGGGTTTTTTTTTTCTCAAACTTCACTCAGTGTGACAATCAACTGACTTCCTGTTGCCTCTGAGTCAAAATATAGGGCTCTCAGTTCCAGCACCGCATTTCCCTGCATACTGCCCTGGTCCCCATCCTGATGATAATGCACTGAAGCCCTGAACGTGTAAGCGAGCCACCCCAATGGAAGGGTTTTCTTTAGAAGAGTTATCTGTGTCATGGAGTCTCTTCACAGCAATAAAAGATCCTAACTAATATACCACTTAATACGTAGAATGCAAATGAACAAACATCACTGTCACCTCTGCTATTGGCAGGAAGAGCATTGACGCTGCCTCCTCACAGGCCATGTGGCGGCATCTACGAGCAAGTGGTCACTGCTGCCCTTTGACTCAGGAACTTCACTCTTGTTTGTTTTAGACACAATGAAGTATCACGAAAGTAAGGAAATGAATCACATGACCACTGTCCTTACAGCTTGCTGGTGATAGTGAACTGCGGTAGTGACCTAAATGTCCATCAAAGCAGACTGGTGTAAAACTCACGGTGAGGACTGGCAAAGTGGCTCAGTTAATGAAGGAGTTAGCAACCAAGGTAGATGACTTTGGTTGTACCCCAGAAATCACAAGACAGTAGCAAAGAACTCTACATTGTCTCTGACGCCAAGACACATGCATAATTAAATAAACATAATTAAAATTATGAATCTCTTCCTTTTATACAAGCACTCTGAATAGCAGGCAGCTGGTAAGAAGAAGAACGAAGTAAATGTGCAAACGTTAAGGTGAGGACTACGATAAGGTTTATACTTTTTAAATAACCTAAGGCTCTGAATACAGAACAATAGTACAAAATCAAAATACTCATTAAATAGTTATGAAAATAAGTTATTCACAGAAAAGCAAAGGAAAAGATAAAGAGGCTGGAGAGGTCAGCAGTTAAGAACGCTGGCTGCTCATCCCAAGGGTGGGAGCTCAGTTCCCAGCACCCATGTCTGGCAGCTCAGTACTGCAAATACAGTGATCTGATAGCCTCTGCTGGCCTCCAAAGCACCTGACCTAATGTCTTTCTCTCTCTCTCTTTCTCTCTCCCCTGTCTTTGTCTGTGTCTCTGTCACTGTATTTCTCTTTTGTCTCTCTTTCTTTCCAACACGCACACACACATGCATGCACGCACACACGTACAGACACACAGAGTATATGTGATGTAGAAGATAAGTACCAGGCACAGTGAATGCACCTTTAGTCCCAGTACTTGTGAGGCAGAAACAGGTGGGTCTCTGTTGTGAGTCTCAGGCCAGCCTGGCCTACATAACAAGTTTCACAACAGCTTAGATGGTATTATAAAAGGACAAAGAGAAGCTGTCTAATATGTATTGAAGGATGAACCCAAGACTAGGAACTTTGGGGCGTGTGTATGGAGGACAGTTAAAGTGGTTGTATCTTTTCTATATTTCCACAAGGCTTGAAAGCTTATAAACCACATGTTATTATGAAATAAGGCCTGGTGGTGCCTCCCTGAAACTCCAGTCACTGAAAAGACAAAAACATCAGACAGGATCACAAGTTCAAGGCTAGACTGGGCTGTAGAATGAGTTCTAAGTCAGTCTGAGTGACATAGCAAAACCTCAATTCTAAAGTTTTTAAAAAAGACAGAGACACATAGTCAAGCACAGTCGAGGCCCTATGTTCAACGCCAGTACTGGAAATGTATCACTTCCTGTGCAGTAACAAACACCTTGACAGGCACTGTTTCTGAGGAGCACATCTGATCGCCACTGTGGAGCAGACAGAGGTCGACCATTTCCTTGTCAGAGGAGTTACCCTCCTAGGACAGGACGCTGAAGTGAAAATAAAAATGGGCAGCTTGCCATGGCCATCACTATCACGGGCCTATTTCTTTTTCCTTCTTGATCAAAATCTGACAGGGAGGGCTCAGACCAGGAGTGAGCCTGGGACAGCTTCCTAGGTGACAAGTCCTGCCAGACAGGTAGGAGACCAGTATAGAGGGGACCCAGCTGCTGATTCTGAGACTCTGATGTTTGAATTTCTTCCCTGAGGTGAGTTAGTGAAAGCAGAGAGAGGCAGAGGGACTGAGAACACTCAGAGTTCATGAGATAACAACAGAGTCATGTCACAGAGGTCGCCAGGAGTCCCTGACAGCTGTGACCAGAGTCTCCTGACAGCTGACAGTGCTGCACACAAGAACGTTATGACTGTGGGTGATGACAAGCTGGCCTTGTCAGCAGATATCGTACTCAGTTTAAAAAACTCCGAGTGTTCTCTCTGTCTGTCTGTCTGTCTGTCTGTCTGTCTGTCTGTCTGTCTCTGATTCTGTCTCTCTGTGTGTCTCTGTCACTCTCTGACTGTCTCTCCGTCTCCTTCTCTCCCTCCCCTCTTCCTCTCTCTTGTCTCTCCTCTCTAACTACAGTGCAAAGCTTCTTCACGTCCAGGGCTTTGGACTGACTGAAGCTTCAGCCACTTAATCAAGACATGACCTGTCAAAGGGCAAAGTTATAGAGGGAGAAAGACTCACCTGTTGCTGAATCTGCCACCTTCTGTCTCTCAACTCCTGCCAGGGTCACGGGAGGGTGAGCTCTGATCCTTGGTCTCTTCACAGGCTTCCAGACCCTGAGTTGTGGCCCACAGCTGAGAGCAGGAAGTCAGCCTGAACTCTAACTCAGTGCAGAGGGCTCCGCCCAAATGAGGAAAAGAAAACCGAAAGTATTTCTCTAAGGTCAAATGTGCTCTGAGATCCTGTCCTTTCTTCTTTCCTGATATGTGGAAGCAGTGGGGAGCAGAAAGAGGCAACTAGAAGATTACTAAGGGGCACACTAGGGACATGCAGGGCCAGTTCCCAGTTCCCAGGAGTGCCTTATTTATGCAGAGATAGAAAAAAAAAAAAAACACCAGCAACCCAAAAGCAACAACAACAAAACTCCCCTCAAATCCAAACAATCATCAGTCACCTCTGTGTCTAGGGAGCAGTTTTACCAGGGTTGGCTGTATAATCCCCCCTTTTTTGTGGCTTGGGTGGGTGAGATGGGGAAGGAGGGTCAGACACTTTCAGGTAATCTCTCAGGCTAGCAGGAGAACCCAGAGCTGGATCCTGACCAAGAGAAGCTTTCCCTCAGACCTCAACGGGAAGTGGAGTTGTAGAGGGAGATCCCCAGCTTTATAGATACTCTGGGTCAGGGCACTGACTGAGGAGTTGTCATCTCAGCCCAGAAATCAAGGGTGGGAGGAAGGTACCACTGTGGCTACCAGGTCTTAAAGGCAAAACCTTGTCCCCCCTTCTGAGATGTGAACCTAGAGAGAGATGGGCAGACACCTCCAGGCAATCCTTCCAGGAAGCCCCTTAGTGATCACCAGGATACACCAGGTTCCTCTCTGTTGCTCCCTCTGGAAGACTCTCTCTGAGGAACCAGGGGACTCGGTGAGCCTGTGTCCTGTCAGGTCCCTAGCAGTCTTCTTGCCTGTGCAGACCAGGGCTCTGTTCTCATCCTTAGCTCAAATGCACAGGGACAGGGCTGGAGCGCATCTGACTGACAGCAGCAGCCTGAGGCCAGGCCTGAGGTCAGATTTCAGGGCTCCTTTCACCGTCTCACATTTTAGCCAGGTCCCGATTCTGCTTCTATCAGGAATAAAACTTTTAAAATGACTTTGTTTGATTATAAATCATGCATGTGTGTTTCTGTGTGGAGTATGCACACAGGAGTGCATGTGGCTAATGATGTAAGAAGACCGTGTGGGATCCCTGGACCTGGAGTCAGAGGCAACTGTGTCCCAGATGTAGGTGCTGGGAACCAGACCCTGGTCCTCTGCAAGAGCAGAAAGCTCTTAACAGCTGCTCCATCTCTAGCCCCAGACAGTATTTTGACCCTCATCCTGTCTCTTCATGTTGCCTATTTGTCAAATGGTCTAGGACCAAGGTTGGAGAAAATGATAAACTTGGGGCTATGAGGCCCTAAACTTGTTTAAGTCTAAGCCTAAGGCTATCTCTTCTAGTTCACTTCTACCTGAGAACCAGGTGAGGAGAGGCCGGAAGCTGTACTGTGATGCTCTTTTACTCTTTTGGCTCTCAAATAAGTCACACATGGAGGCTTATTCTTAGTTATAGATGCTAGTCCTTGGCTTGGTTTGTTGCTTGTCAGTTTTAACTTAATTCATCCCATCTACCTTTTGTCCCTGGGCTTTTCCTGTTCTCTTCTTTTTATCGTACTTCCCTTCTTACTCCGTGGCTGCCTATGTGGCTTGGTGTCTAGCCCCTGCTCTCCTCTTCTCTCTCTCTTTCCCCTTCCTTTCCTCTTCTTTCTCCTCCTATTAAACCCTCTGTCTGCCAGCCCTTCCTATCCTTGCTCCTGTCTTGCTATTGGCCATTCAGCTCTTTATTAGAACAATCAGGAGCTTTAAACAGGCACAGTAACACAACTTCACAGAATTAAACAAATGCAGCATAAACAAAAGTCACACACTTAAAAAGAATATTCCCCAAAAGGAAGTCCTGGGCAATTCCATCATCATTATGCAATTATTCTCAGGGCTCGGTGGGCACTGGGTAGCAACATCTGAGTTCTTAGAGGCTGTGTTGAGACTGAGCCAATTCACTTAACAGCCTGACCTCTGCCTAGAACCTCCCGGAGTAAGGTAAGGTTTGTGAAGCTTTAGATGTCACAGGCTTTGAACTGTGTGAGATGCTGGGGAGATAGAGGAGGAAACATGAATAGTTCTAGGTGGAAGTGTGAAGGGGAAGAGATCCCAAGGCAGTGAAGGAGAAAGTCAAGGACAGGGGCACACAGGAGGTCCACCTGCCATCTTCTGAAACCTGAGGACCATCCATGAGAAACACGGTTAAAGAAACCCAGGGTCCTGATAACACTCAGGAGAAGGCGGGATGCTAGTCCAGGTTCTCATGTCCGGGGAGTCCCTACCTTTAGTCTGCATCATCTCCCATACCCCTTCAGTTTTGCTTCTGTGTCATCAAGTGGACAAGGACAGAGATTCCCTCTGTCCTGGGTACAGATGGGAGACCCAGAGACTCTGCAGACCATTGACATCACAGATGCCTTTCCTTTACATCCCGTGCCACAGAGGCTGGTCATGTGCACAGCACACAGCCATGAAAGAGCTGGTGAACTTCCTTCTCCCCTTCCTCTTTTTTCTTCATTAATATTTTATTTACCTTTTTCATTTCTGTGCATTGGTGTTTTGCCAGCACTTATGTCTGTATGAAAGTGTCAGATCCATTGGAACTGGAGTTACAGTCAGTTGTGAGTGCCATGTGGGTACTGGGTATTGAACCCCGGTCCTCTGGAAGATCACACAGTGTTCCTACCAAGTGATTCATCATCACTGTCCTAACTACTGAACCATCATCACTGTCCTAACTACTGAACCATCATCACTGTCCTAACCACTGAGCCATCATCACTATCAGAGGGCAGTAGCCACTTTCTGGATAGAGTGGGTTCCAGCAAGCTCTACACCACCCCCTAAAGGTTGTTACAGGTTGTAGGCTCTTTAGACTTGGATTTTACTGCCAATGATGGGAACCAAAAATCCTTTTCACAAGCTATGGAAACACTTGGGACTCTTGATAGATGTTCTGAGTTATCGCATAATCTTAATATTTGACAATCCATGAGCATAAATGAGCTTTTTGCCTATACAGAAACTCTTGGTTCAAATTGTCAGGGAGTTACAGTGAAACTGGCTCATCCACACCTCCTGGAAAAACCCATCTTCCTTCCCAGAGAGCTACATTCAGCTTGTGAGCACCAGGGAGGCCCTATCACACTAGAAGTCAAGTCATTTTGTCCCTCACCCTGAAGTCTTATGGTGGTGACCTGGAGTCTCCTCTAAGCACATAGTTCTCACTGGATCATAATTTAAAACACTTTAGAGTATCAAACAGTTTTAACAATAGATATGGTGGCATTTGAAAAGAATAATTAGATGTAAAGAAGTGTTTCACGTGAGACCATCAGAAAGTACTCTGAATCCCTACTTCAATACACTCCTGTCTCCCTTTGGGTGATCTTTACCATCCTCTTTTCCCTTGAGTCCACACAGCTCTCTCCAAAGAGAATAGAAACACAAAGAGAATGGAGACATTTTATTGATAGTCTTTGGCTCCCTCATCCATGAATCCTCCTAGAGGATATCCACCCCGTGAAGTGTGGAGCCGTGCTGAATGAAGGACCTTGGGTATCCATGGTAGCTTCCATGCCAAGCTGTAGTGACAACAGTCGGATGGACTTCTAAACAGAACACCTGGACATCAGCCAGGCCCTTGACTTTCTCTTTCTGAAACAACTTCTTCATTCTCATGAGATTCTGTTTGTTCTGAGTTTTGTTTGTTTGTTTTATGCTTTTTGTTTTTCCAGATTCTACACACTAGAAAGTCTCCTACCGAAGTTTAGACTGTCCCGAACAAGACTGTGACTGTTTTCAAAATCAGGCAATAGGAAGCAGGAGGTTGATTCTTGGTCAGCCGACTCAAGTTCTGACCTCTCTCCCCAATCCAGTCTGACTTCTTCCATCTGCAGAGGTCTCAGACTGTTTGGGTTTTCACATAGCATCCAAAATCACTACCCAAGTAACAGACTAGTCTCAGTGCTTCTTCAGGAACAAGAAACCAAGCTTCCTTATTCCTCACTGAACACAGCACGGAATCCTGGTTATTCCCACACCCAGCCTGGTTCTGGAGATCAGACAAAGCCCTCTGAGCTGCTTTACCCACTCAGGAGACACAAGTGCCCCTACCTAGCAGCACCAGACATGAAGCGTGCCTTTAGGAGGCGAGGCACAGCTCAGAACCGCACACTCTTGTGCTTGCACACTCACAGGAATGAGTCAGGTTTGGTAAAGTAGGGAACACACCTGTGGAAAAGTCACAGATGGCTCTAGAATTTGAACTGGAGTTAGTACAGGCCATCTTTACAAAATTGATGTAGATGTTCTGCAAAGCCTGAGAATTCCTCTTCTTTGCTGAAGGAGATGGGGTGATAGCATCAGTCTGGTCCTTGTTTGAGTTTACTAAGTAGTCTTCACTTTCCAAGGGATTCAGGTTACAGTCATTGTTAGGGTCCTAGAGAAGTCCCACAAAATACCCCCACCATCCATGTAAGCAATCAGCAAGAGCATTTATTATCTCTAGAGTAAGAGTTCCAGCATGCCTGGGGCCACACATCTGACACAAAAACTAATTGACCACCTCAAGAGTAGCTCACAGGCTCCTTTTATACACAGCTAAAGGAATTCTAAAGCAGTTAGGTCTTCCTATCTGGGATTGGCCTATGTGCATGACAATTGTATTAGTACATTGCTAACTGGTAAGAACTAGCAGGGGCTGGCTAGAGCTTTATTTTATCATTTTTGGGCAAATCTGGACAAGTCCCAGGCTCTGTCCTTATGTAGTTATTGTCTTGAGATACTGTGGGGGCTGGGTCAAGCCTAGTATGGTCTATCTCCTTGTCCTTATTGTTGGGGGCATTGGTGATTGATTGCCCTTTGTTCATGGCTTGCTTAGAAACTGTTTGTTCAGTTTCAAGAGGCAGGAACTGAGATCCAGTTCTAAACTGATTTATTAGGAGTCTGTCAGGTTATTTCACTGGCCTTCTCAAATCCTGAAGATGTTTGTTTGCAGACTTGTATTGTTATTTTAAAACCATCAGTGAGACCGTAGAGACACATTCTT